TACAGCTAAATCCTAATTAATTTTTAATTTTAAGGGTGAAAAGAAAAAAAAATCTCATTCTCCAAATTTTGAACTTAAGCGACTTCAATAAATGATTGAGTTTATATGATAATCTGATTTTATACACTTCCTTTGTTGATAACATGCTATGATTCGAGTGATTTGTGTGATTCGTTTAATTTCATCCAGAAAAATCGAACGTCCTAGGTACTAAAAAATATAACGAAACATTTTCTGTTTACCTATAAAGAACCTGATTTTTAAAAAATGGAGCTAAATTCATTTTGTCATGCATTTAAAAACATGGTCGGCATATAAGCTAACTTATCCTCAAAGTAGATATGCATACTCTATTTATTTTCTGACAGATTACCAACATGCATCAAAGGATGAGTATGTATTTCATGGCTTAATCACTTGGTTATTCGTAAGTAAACTCTATACTTCCAGAATAAGGAGACCCACGAGGAAGAAATATGTTGGAAGGGCTCTTGAGAGCTTGTAGACTTTTCTGAGTCACACCGTTCTTTACCTTCCTTTCCTGATTTAACATAAATGGAGTCATACGATTAGCCAACCTACGTGATATCATTTATGGATCACCTTTAACACAGGTATTAAATATGTACAGAATCAATATGTATGCACGAATAGGAAAAAAAAATGTTTGTACTCTGATTTCCCTACATATAATTGTGCACAATTATATGCAACAAGCTGTGTATAAGGGGAGCCTTTGACCCTGAACACCTCAGTGCATTAATGACAATAATTTGAAGCCTTCATCAGTTTCTGACATGGCATTCCCTAAATTATTTATGAATTTATAAGGCCACGCAGAACCATCCTTAAATTCAAACCTACAAAATAAACTTTCGAGAATACGTAAATAAATGAGTTTGATAGAAAAACTTTATGTGATTTTCATGTTTATGCGGCCGATGTTCCTGGATTTGTTGGCTCACAATAATTCTGGATTCCGTATTCTCCGTACATCTGTATGAATATATGAGGTTTCAAGGAAAACAAAAACTCATTGGGGGTTCTTCAGCCTCCTCGGTTAGTGATTATCACTAAATTACTATTTCGAGTCCAGAGAACGTTAGTGGAAAGTTGGAATCAGAGCCTTGCATAATTACAGCAGACTTACATATTTATTTCACTCGACTCCATATGAACTCCTTTCACAAACACAAATCAAGAGTGAAATTGGGTGGTATATAAATTCTGTATTTCGTTTCCCTTCTCATTAATTAATAAGTTTACCATATCTGCCTTTCCCTATAATAATAACCCACTCTTATTACAATATAATAATAGCGATGCCTAGTTTGATGCGGCAACGGCAACCAACTCGACTTGCTTTTTTCGGGAATTAATCAAGTCACATCCGGTCGCGATATACTATTTTCACGGTGTTCGGGCACACATTTTTCACAAGAATCATTCGCTATACCCAATTTAGCCCAACAGTGACCTATTGACGTTTGACATTATCCAATAAATCTTCAATCTCCTTCAACCAGATGAAGGAGATATCTATGTGCAGAAAAGCCACCAACTCATGTCATGTCATACGCTCAAGCAGAAAGCTTTTTAGTGCAAATCGATTCCTTCTTTTTCTTCGAGACTAATGGAGGAACAAGGCCAATGACTAATTTTTTACAACCCCGTTAGCAGTGTTTGTGGTAAGAATGTTCGGAAATATATTTGTATCGATCAAATTATGGTGCCTGGTGAACCCTCACATTGTGTCACACTGCAAGAATTAAGGACTATTATCAGGGTTTATATATATTGCTGAACGAAACATGAGTCATACAGGGATACTATTTTCGCATGTCTGCATTTCCCCTTGGCAGTGAAGCTAGCTTGAAATCAAGTGTCGCCAATAATTTGGCAAGCCACCACAATCCTCACTCACAGACTTGATAAGAATGGATTGCTTTCACGAGAGGGGGAAGTCTCATTTATCGCATTTATTTACTACACAAGTGCTCTAAGCGTCCCCTGCTTTCCCATTACTTTCCAATGTATGTATTCCTATGCATACACATGACTGTCCTTATAATGTTTTATGGCAGGAGAGCTATGTATATATGTACATATATACAGCCGTTTTTGCACAGAAATGACAACAACAAAGCTATAAAACAGGCTACCATGTTTGACCAGGAAATACATAAAATGCTCCACTGCTTTGCGAATTGAACTGAATCATGTATGACTCACCGTTGGAGAAAGCAAACTTTCCCGTGTAGTCATGTATCCTTTTTTAATCATACGTGCTACATGCTCTTGTTTTGTGATTACTTTATTCAACTAAGTAAAGTTACATGTGAATTCGCTCAAGATTTAATATTTAAGTTTACCAACTCAACTAACTTTCAAATCCTAGTTGGCGAAAGCATTCATCAGTACACATCGATTAATTTTGTTGTTTGAGCCTTGTTTGAGTCTTTGCTTTGCAAAATACGGAATTGATTTTTTACCTTGGCTCTCTGCTACATGATAAAAGTTTAATTTTCATCCAAATGAGTTTGCCTGTCATGCCATCATTTGGCTTTGTTTGCGGCAGTGTTGTGGTGCATGTCGTTCGTGGTGTGATGTTATGTTGGCCATGAAATCGTATCGATTCACCATTCACATTTTACCTTCTTCTTCTTCCTGTGACCGAGAGAAAGACCGGGTGCTGTGGTTCTGTGTGTGTGTGCAAATGCAAAAACAAGCCGGGTTTGGTCCCAGTTTCGCCGTACTCTTGTGAGTCAGTTGGCAAGGATCGATCGAAGAGACGAAGACGGCGAAAAGGGAGCCGGGTATCAGAGGTGGTCGTATTCTGAGCGAAATTAAATTCGCAACCTTTTCACTTTCTTCCTCCTGTATACCATCATCTCTGGCGGTAGTACATACATAGCACAGGAAACGAAAAAGAAAGCTGTTGGTCTGACTAAAGTAAAGTTGTAACATTTTCTCGTCCCATTAAATCCAACTCGAGCGTATACGTAAATATGAATCTTAGGTTTAAGACGCATGCATAATTTTGGCAATGTCTGAGACATGATCAAACGAATTACTGATTCCATTCGAATTATTATCGCTCGAGTTTCGACATTATGATATTATTATACATCTATTGCCATTCTTAGAATGTCATAATTGAATGTTATCAAATATCCATAAACCATGATTTATGCAAAAGGACCACGATTTATTAAATTAGATAAATTCATGGTATTCAAACTTAGGTACAATACTTTAACTTATAAATGTGCAGTCACTCATACGTCCATCAATGTGGGTGCAACGTCTCGCTTAAATGAAATTATGGTGGATATGAGATCGTAAAAACCAAACTACCCTCTTTCATTGCAGAATATAATATGTATACACCTGGCAAGGCAAACTTTGAAGTATTCTCACGGGATTGCAGATTGCAATTTTAGTCATTCATAAGTTTTTATGTTTTTGTTTTTATTAGGTTTAGTAGAACACAAAAAGGCTCTCACATCAGATTAACTATTTTCCTCTCTGGTCTGATTCCAGTTCATTTAATCTTGCACCATGTATCCTCCGACATCTCAAAATACCACCACCACGTAAAGCAACCTCGAAATACATACACATGTGCATATTTTGTACGCACATGTACCTATAGTCATAAACATATATAGGTGGGTAAAAGCTGGGTAAAAGAGATTAGCAAAAAATTTGCAACGGGGCCAAGCTCGGAGGAGGAGAAATTCTGTATAATAATATCCTGCTTAACAAGAGATTGAAAACTGCAAAAAAATCTGCCACCTTTTCAATTTCAATGCCTTTATACATATTGTAAATTTGTAAATATATGTATATTTGTAAATGGCATGCACCAGGCCAGGGCATTTTGTCTCACGGGGTTCGTGTAAATTCAGACGCAGAAGGTCCTAACATGCCAAGAAACGGTTAAAAATCATATTTATTCCAACTCTGCCCTGTCATATCCATTTCAGTATTTAATATTTGCTTCGACATCGCCCAGCCGAGTGTTTTCGTTGTCGATGGTGTCGTTTGTTTGCCAAAACCGAAATAAAATTCAGAGACGTGGAATAGTTGGAACGAATGCGTATGTATTTGACGCTCACTCTTACATAGAGCTTAGGATGGCTAGACACTCGAAAATATACTAACAACATTCAATCAACTATACCTTATAACCATCGAATTTAACCCATTTCATTAACTTAAATGCAGCCACAACTACCAAAAAGAAGTGCATAGCAAACAGTAAATGAAAAATATTTACCGACCGTGCGTTGTACGTACTTGTCGACTGTTGAGCATTTACTTAATGTTTCAGGTGAACTCTGAACAAAATGTCATTGCGTAATGGAATATTCTATGCTTCACTTTGATATGTATATTTTCTTGTCTTGCGACGATGAATGGACATTTCTTAAAATTCTAAGAATGAGACGAGACGATTGCTTTATTTGCAAAGTATTTGTTATAAAATTGTGTGTCATGTTTATTCTTATAAAAATACACAGGAAATAATGCTTACGAAATTTGGATAGACCGTTATGTTCATGGAATTTTTAACTTTCTCGTTCACCTCGTACAAAGCGAATATATATAAATATGTATATATGGATGTGTCGTTTTATACACACAAAAAGAATAAATTACAGTGCTTTGTTGTATGTTTTTGGCTTATCTTATCGCAGTAGGTCGGATAAGGTAGGAAATGACTAATATTTTACACATGATGATATACATACACAATATCTTACTTATCTAATACCATGCGATGACAAAGATGCATACATGTGGATTTCAGTAAATTGTTATTTTGAATTTACCAAGAATGAACGTTGTATAATCGTTTTATCATAAAAATAAGAAGGATATGCAGAATCATGGAATTGCATAAATTCCGTTCGTTCTCATGCAAAAAATATATTTAAATATGTATTTATTTATATAAAGATGAGAAAGGTGATTGGGAAGGTAAAAATTCTTACCTAACAAGCAGCAGAAGACGAAGAGTTTTGCTGTTAATAACTCCATTTTGGACACCATCATTAGACGTCCTTAGCGTTCTGCCAATAGTTTATACAACTAGAAACTCTTTGAAAGCAGTCAATTAGCCCAATTTGTAAAATCTGCAAAGTCCAAGACTGGAGATGGATGCTGAACTTGACTAATATCCTCTTGATTAAAACCGGCTTCTTGCGCCTATTTCTTCCAGTCTACTTATTGTCGTCCGATACTAAACAGAAGTTCTTCATTAACAAAACTTTTTAAATTCTAATCCTTAAACTTTTAATTGATTCGTTCTCCTTTAATAAAGTTTCCGCTTGCCCCAGAATTCACTATTGCATACACACATGCAATTGGTTCCTGCTTCCAGAAATTTTCAGAAAAAATGGGAAATCCTTTGATGAGTTGATACTATTCCTCAAAATTCTTCAAGATTCACACAGTCTTATCTTCTTACAGTTCGTCAAAGAACAGGTTGTCACACATGTACATACGTATCACCGGAGAAGGGCAACACACCGAATACTGGAAACTGCGACTCGCTTGAACCGATGCAGGCTGCACACTGGCAACCAAAACTAACAAAACGCTGGATCATCTACTCCATTGGCCAACAAACTCGGGATTCGACATGTGCATACGGAGCTACGTTGTAGGATAAAACTTCCACTTATTTGGTATATGAACACGACAAACGAAGATCTTATTTTTATGAGGTTCTCTCCAGCAGAAGACCAGAAAATGTATCTGCAGTCTGTTCCAGTCAAAAAGAACGTCTTTACTTTACCTGGATGAATTGATGGCAATGATGATGATGCCAGGGAGTCATGTTTAGTGAAAACTAAAAGGAAGGAAATGTATACTTCTCCTCCTGATTCTCTAATATGTTGTTATGTAACGTGAGATAAATTCAGACCAGGTAAACTAAACTAAACTAAATAGCAGTATAATAATGTGGCATCGTCATATGATTGTTGATGGGATTTCGAACTCGAGTCATACTTATTGTGGATTAGATACACAAACAGAGGTGGGTGTATGTAATAAGCTTACCAAGTAAAAAAACAGCCAGTGAAGGAACGTAGATAGTGAGAGTGGTCTTATAATAATGCGGCGTGTGGAGAGTGTATGATGCAACATACGAAATAATACCTGTAATGTATGTGCCGGGCATGAATACCTTTAAGAGGCAGGTTTTCGAACGGAAAGGCAACCAAGGTGGATGACATTAAGCAGCAGCGTCGCCGTTTATAAGTTTCCATCCAACCGACCAACCCGTTTATAAACCTAACTTGCATGCATTCTGAAACGCTGTGAGGAAAAACAGCCCGGAGCATGCACACCCGTTCTTCCTGATAAAAATTACCTGTACTCACCTGTCCGGTGATGGATGATACCTACATACGTTTTATTAGAAATAAGTACAGATAACGAGGACACAAGTATATGTAATACTGGCCAAGCTATATTATGCATTACGCAATGGCATTGGTGCACATGTAATAGAGGGAGGCCGGAAAAGAAAATGAAAACTAAAAAAAATGTTATGCAAAATGCAACTCGTTTTCTTTCGTTGATAGTTTTTACCAAAAATTCAAGATTCAAAGTTAAAAATTGTAAGATTTATTTAAATTATATATTATTACAGGATAAATTCATCGAAATCTTGACACATAACGTTAGCATTAAATATTCAAACCTGACTTGAATTAGCATATAAACGTGAGTTTGATTAAAACAGCATTTATAAAGTGACTAATAAATGATTATTAAATAATTTGTCGTCCCAAAACCTTAGACGATTAATGGACATTTGCCTGACGAAATACTGAATGACTGCAAAAAATAAAACTAGTCTTGCCAGTTATTATATTATTATTATTACAAGTATAATATGCGTTTTATAAATTGTTGTGACTAAGAAATGTAATTATTAAATATTTAAAACATCAAAAGCGCACCAATGATTTAAGTTGAATTGATTTTAAAGTAAATTAATTCAAGCGACTTGAGCTTATGAAAAAAGCATCTACATGACACATGATGTGATGATCGATTTCAACGAATGCAGTGCATAAAAAGTAGGAACTATTTCGAAAACAATTAACCAAATTATCACTGCGTATAATATTATAAAGTGTAAAAAGTGACTCCAAGACATTGTTTTTCAGTTTTTTTACAATAATTCTTACCCTTAATCTTAGAGTATCACATGGTAAGGTAACAGTCATTACATTTCGAAATTGTTCTCTGATCCAGTACGTATTCGTATATATATATATGTAAATAGATATTATAAAACAATGAGAAAAAAAACGAAAAAAGGTTTACATAAAAATATTTTTCGATAGTTATAAACTGTGCGCTGAAGACTTTCATTCAATTGCGATAAATCCTAGTTAATAAGTCTCGTGTATCAAAGATCTAAGTCAAATTATTTTAGTAGGTATTTTTGTTTTTTAAGCAATTAGTAAAGGCTCGTCGTCTGAAAATCCACGAATGACAGGCGAGTCGTGATCTTCCACTGTATATAAAGCAAAAATAAATAATTATTATCACTATTATTAAAAGTTTTCTTTTAAATTGTGTATATTTTCTTCATTTTAGTTATACCGGTATTATTTTGCTGAAAAGTTGCAGCACCTGAATGTGTGCTGTAATGTGAACTAGCAAAATTCAAAAACGACGTTTGAAGTCTCTTGTGTCGAATTACATAAATTCCCAGGGTAGCGACCAATATCACAATCACAACCACAGCGGTCAGAACGATTACGAGGGCGTTATTTGTACTAATCATAATCCGTGGGGATGTCACTAAGTATTAAAACAATATGTTAGTAAAATAATTTACGATTAGACAAAATGGTTGCAACATAAGGTGCATGAAACGTTACCTGTATTTCTCAAAGTCATTGGGGATGACCTCGGTGATTCAAAACTGTCTGCATCCATGGCACTTACAGCCACATAGTAGACACCATCATCGTTGATCAAATCCTTAAACTCAAATTGATGACCATCCGTAACATGTCTCGTAGTTGAAGAAGAGTTGAATGACTTATCTTTCGACAACCACACAACATATCTTGGACTGAAATTTAAATAATTAATAATAATTAACAAACTCTAGCGTCGTGAGAAAAGCAATAATTTACTTACTCTCCTTTGGCCTTAACACTATGGGGAAAATGGGGCATCTCCCAAAAAATGGTGATTGGGAAACACCCTGTGACAACATAAAAGTTAATCGTAACGTATTTCATAAACAATATATTTATTGTTATAACAAAACCTAACCTGCACATTGATCAAGACTTTCTGGAGGGGGAATTGGTGGGCCGTCAAAGGCCACAGGAGGCGAGAATCGAGACCCATTGACACTAGTCTTCACTCGAAGTCTAGAATTTAAAATATAACGTAAAATAATAATCCTTATTTAATAACTTGTAACTTTTTAGGATATATATTTAAATTAACTTACTCGTAATGTCCTCCATATTCTATATCAGTACTGTATTCGTTAGTTTTCTTCTTGTTTGGACCATCAATCGGCATATTTTTCACTGCGTAAGTATGATTTGTGGTGAGTTCGCGTAGATATATCTGTTAATGATGATATAATGGCAATTATAATCTAATTATAAAAATACGATATTGAATATTATGAGAATCCTTACATCATAGCTCATAGGGTTTTCCAACTCATCACAAGATGCATCCCAGGACACAACAATATTTAACCGATGAGGTGAATCATGTTCATAAAATACGTCTACATTTTTCGGAGGAGCCTGTATTTGAGTGTTATTAAATAAATTTAATTATCAACACTCTTAAATTTCCATTACACATCATAGTAGATATGTAATATAAAATGCCATTCAAACACTGCACGACGAAGATCATGGTTAGAATTAAATTACCTTTTCATCCATTTTGGTTTGTATTTCTTTTGGAGATTCAGTAAGAGGACCAAGACCATCTGGGCCAATCAATCCTACATCAATTAAATAGTCTTCACATGCATCGAGATCATCAAGGACGAAGGAACTGGCATTTGTGATTTTTCGAACTCCTGGATACAACAAATGTAGTATTGATTAAAAATATATATAAAATATCAGCAAATTAATTTATGATTTACCCTGATTGGAAATCTCAGAAATTGATTTTCCATAATAGACACCATACACCCACCGTCGATCAGGAAATAATTGCCAGCTTACGGTAACTGTACCGTGTTTTTTAGAGTAATCAACTTGAAGTCCTTTGACTTTTAGCAACTTGTTCCCTACAATGAAAAACCAAGCAAGTAAATCAATTTAAAATTATTCATTATTATTTCAGGGGATACCATTAAAAGCATATTATGGCTTACCATTTGTTGCAAATGTCAATGTCTCGGAAGTCCCCTGAACTGAATCGTACACAGGAGTGATGGTTACTTTGTAGTTCGTTTTGGGAGAGAGATCGTGCACTGCAATAATAATAAGTAAAAAAAATACAACAGAATCACGTGAATAATCATAATGATAATAAAACCCCACTCACAAGTGATAAATGTATCATTTGTTTCTGAGAAATTTTGAAACATGTAAATGGATCCCAACATCTCCCATTTGACTTTAAAGCTATTAGCTCTCTCGGTAGTGGCTTTCCAAGAAATACTTGCACAAGTCTCGTTCACATCTGCAGGCAGATCAAACCAATACTTCACTAATTTTCCTTTTATTTGGAAAATAACAACTAATGCATAGAAGTTTATCAATTATATTTGCATGGATTAAACATTACCTTTAACCATCAATTCGCTAACAAAAGCAATCTCCCCATTGAATGTATAGTTTACTGTTTTTGAATTTTGACTCTCCGTGAAACTATTGTGTGCAGTAACCTGACCAAATTTTAAAAGGAATTTTATTAACTTAAATTAACTCGTATATATGTATATGTCAGTAAAAAATTATAAATATGTATCCACATACCCAGAATGTATATGTTTCACCATTCTGGAAAATTCGATGAGATTGCTTGTTTGAAATCGTTACATTGGTCCCTGTAGCAGGGAAACTGACCCCAGGAGCTGGTGGACGCATATGAACATCATAACCCAAGATTTTTCCATTCGGAGTTACAGGTTGCTTCCATGTGATAGTTAGAGAGTCATGATTGGTTTGGAAAACCTTAATGTCATATACGAGGCTCGGTTCTGCAAGGAAAGGATAATTCATAATAATATAAGTCTAAATATATGTACATAATAGTACACATATGTACGTTGTAATCTTGGGGAAATTATATAAAATTTGAATATATAGATTGAGTATGAGTTACACACCTGCTTCAGATGTTGTGATATTCTTATATACTGCTGGTGGGTAGATAGTTTGTCCAATGCGAACATAAACAGTAACAGAGTAAGCAGTGAAGGTTCGCAACCCCTTATTCTCTTCAGATCCCAATGTATAGTTTCTGTCCTTGGTCCACATTGTAGCGTTGACGCAAAGTTTAGATTCTAGTTCACAATAGGACGGAAGAAACTCCATGCTGCCCTTCAAAGTAGGATCTAACCACCATTCAATCTCCAAGTGCTTGGGTTCTTGAAAGTCTCGATCAATTGAGATTCCAGCAACCTGATGATTTACAAATGTTTCAAATGCACGATTTTCAGATTCCATTTGTCAATATAAAAACCTTTAAAAAAATGAGAACATACCTGATACATTGTCTCATGTTTGCTACAGTCAATGAAGGGACTTTCGTCTTCTCCATTTGAACAATCAACTTTCTTGTTGCAAATCATATATTGTGGTTTACACATTTCATCGCAAAAGAATGTTCCAACACTACAATTAGCTATATTCAACCAAGAGAAATGCATTAATTGTTTCTGCAATGTTTAATTTAAATTAGTTTCCCTTACGTTTTACAGGAGCAGAGACACATGCTGATTCGTCTTCCCCATTTGGACAGTCATTAAATCCATCGCACATTGCAGCTTGGGGAATACAGACTTTTGACATTCCACATTTTTCAAACCCATGGGGACATCCTTGACCATCCCGGTCACAATTATCTTCATCATCTTGATCAGGACAGTCGGGAAATCCATCGCAACGTGAGCTTACGGCAATACAAGAGCCTATTAGAATTCATCAATTTATGGTTAATCTTTATATGGTTACAAATATTTGAGAAAGTTAGATTTTGCAGATCGTACTTGACTTGCATCTCCACTGATCTTGTGCACAATTCTGTGGAGGACTTTCCGGCGTAACCTTACTTTCTGGCTCAGAATAGCTACTGTCTGCACATCTGGCTTCGTCGCTTCCATCCAAACAATCCTTGGCGCCATCGCATTTCCAGAAAATGGGAATGCATTCATGGGAAGAACGGCACTCAAACATTTGACCAAATTCAGAACAGTTTCCGATAGAAAACGGACGAGCGTCGCTTGGTGTTGGTGTTGTAGAATTACAATTGGCTTCATCAGAGCTATCAGGACAGTCCTACATATATGTACAATGTGCTCTTGAATGAATCTGATTGTATTAACAAACCAAACTCACAAACATAATAAAAATAACAATGTTTCTTACATTATCACCGTCGCATCTCCATGAACTCTATAATAAATTTAGATTTGTGTTTAATCTGGTATCACCATAAATAGCTAAAGTAAACTAACCATGATACATTCGCCTGATGTACAGGTAAATTTCCATGCGGGGCAAGTAGTATTGTTGCATTGTTCCTCGTCCGACCCAGAAGGGCCTAAGGTTGTAATTTAAAATGCAAACTCATAATTACTTGTAATTAGGTAACGATTGTTATTCGTTCACTCACAATCTTTGTCTCCATCACAGACCCATTCTCTACTCAGACATCGTACTTCACCTGGACCTTGGCATTTATATTCATTGTCCTTGCAGGCATTTGCCGGCGGAGGAGCAGCAGTACAGTTTTTCTCGTCTGAACCCCCATCGCCGCAGTCATCATCTAAAATAATGTAACAATTGTAAATGTGACAATTCAACTGAATTATTTTTTTCGTAACGATTTTAATTCGAAAACAAATTGAGTTTAGTATCTTACCGAAATCACACACCCATTTCTTCATGATACATCGTCCATTGTCACACTGAAAGTGATTGGTAGCATTACAAACGGGATATTTTCCTTCGCAATTATGTTCGTCTGATGTGTCACCGCCACCGCAATCGTGATCGAAGTCACACCGGAAAGTATCTGGTATGCATTTGTGATTGATCTCACATTGGAACTGAGACGCATTGCAGATGGGTCTATCACAGTCTATTTCGTCACTATTATCATTGCAGTCATCATCGCCATCGCTGCACAAATCGTACAAAAATCAGATAAAACAACATAGTACAAAAGGTGTCCAGACATAGTTTGCACAAATTCTCAGTTAAATATCTCTGGCGGGGAATTTAATTCTGAACTGATTTTTCGTGGGTCGCAAGATAATACTCTCAAAAAGATATGTTTAAAATTTTAGGGCGATAGCTTCACAAATGCCCCCTCCAGTACCCCCAGAGTTGGAAGGTGCCAAAAACACACTTTCCAAACTTAATTACTCAGATCGCATGATAACCTAAGAGGTCAGAGGTGAATTATTGTTAATACTATAACCCCTGATCACCATTGCATGTAATAATAAAAGAATCCACAATGAATTACATAACGTTGGACCTCCATCGTCGCTGATACTTTTTCATGAAAAGTGATCAATCGGACCGTGCACAGGAAAATTGACCTGCTGACCTTGAAATCGAACCCACTGGGTCAAATGAAGATTGAGGGTAAAGCTGGACGTGCCCTACGTAATATTAAATAGAACAGTTAAGATTTTGGGTAGCCAGTTTTGGAGAAGGACCCGAGCTAATCAGCTGATGCGGAATCCTAAAAAACTCGTGAACTTATTTAAAAAATTAATGATCAAATTTTGTTGAAAAAAAATTTTAAGAACTTTTTTGTGTCACCTGTCGCAGAACTATTTTACGTACAAGGAACAAGTGACAAAATAATAAATCACTGCCTTTTGATTAGTTAAAAAAAATTTAAAGTTCCGCCTGAATTTCGAGGAGAACTTTTGTAAACATTTTATAGGGTTTGATGCAAACTCATTTCCTGGGGTGTAACCACTTGTCAAAATTATGTCAAAAGTACTTACAGTGCAATATACTGTATGTACCTTGAATAAAAACAACGTTAGGGATTTTTAAAATCAAAGTCGTAAAATGTGGGGGCCTTTAAAGTGGAGAAGTTGCGGTCACGAGTGCATTACAGTAGGACAAGTTTAAAATTAGACTAAAAAACGGACTTAAAAGGTAAGCATGAGACAAAAATTGTTGTACATAGTGAAAAACATGCTGAGTCCATTGATAATAGTCGCAAAGACGATTTCAACACTAGGGCATCAGAAAAAAATCTTTTGTTCGACGCCATTTTATAAGAACACTGGTTTGGAAAACTAAAAAAGTACACCTCTGCAAAGTTGACTTTGCCTCATTTCGCAGAGTACAGAAAACCGGAAGCCAGATATGCTCACCTATAGTTTGAGACATGGGCTTTCACATAAAAAACGCTAGAAATCTCTACAACTAAAAACCATCGCATAATTAAATTATGAATTTGTGCAAACTATGTCTGGACGCCTTTTGTACATCCTATACAGGATCGAGTGAAGGGTGTATTATAAATATATATAATATATACACATACCATTTCCACCCAATGGGAATGCAATATCCAGAAGCACACTTAAAGAAATTTTCGGAGGGATCGCAGGTTGACTGACAAGTTCCATTCGTATTAACTGGTTTTCCATCAGGACAAACACAGAAGTTTGACTCATTTTCTGATCTCTTGAGCCCGTCAGGGCATTCACAAACAGCCGTATTGTTGGGCATGGCAAAGCATAAATGTGAACAGGAGTTGTTGAAACAAGCGTTTGTGCCTTCTTGAGAATTATGATGTCCAAACACCTTTAGATCCATCAGTCTAGAATAGTTCCCAAGGACCAAGAATATTGACTTCTTTGGGTCGTTCACATCGTTTTTAGTAAAATATATAGATCGCGTTGTCCAATCATCCCAATACACCAGGTTTTTGTATACTCCTACTGCGAATGGATGATTAATTCGATTGTCGGTTTCCAGGAAATGTTGTATATCCTGTCCATTCAAGTCGGAAGTCGTCATTGAGTCCAAGAATGCATCCACCCAGTATAAGCGATTAGATTTATAGTCGACAGTGATTCCATTTGGCCATTTAACAAGTTGCGGTTTTCCAGGAACATTTTCAACAATACGTTTAGCTTCTGACCCGTCCAAAAGCGCTCTTCCAATTGATGGTTTATCCGCCGACCAATCAGTCCAAAATATATATCTATTAATTTAGCGTCAGCAAACACAAGGATAATAATAATTTTCCATTATCAAGACAGACAACTATAATAAAGTAGTTAAAATTTGTATACCCTTTAACTGGATGGACAACTAAACCTCTAGGTTTCTCAAGGTTAGGTTGCTTGACAATTACTTTGCGCATTCTCCCATAGGTATGTGAGGTAGTTCGAATTACTTCAATTTTTCCTTCTACTCCATCGCTAAAATACAAATTATGTGATATCCAGTCAAAGGCAATTCCTTCGACAGATTTCAACCCCGATGAAACCAAGTGTTCCGGAGAGCTTTTTCCATCCAAATGAAGACGCATAATATGATCTCGCGAAACATCAGACCAATACAAGCAATGATTTTTTAGCTCAAAATCAATAGCTATTACAGATTTCACTCGGGGCAAGGGTAGAGTTTCGATTGACTTGAAGTTGTTGATGTCAATTCTCATTACAGAATCTGCAATTAATAAAATAAAGTGTAAGATTCCTCGACACCTTTGCATGGACATCAAAGCATTTTTTCTCTTTTCGCTCGCAAGACTCGCAACCTGTCTCTCGTAATCAAAATCCACACAATTTCATCATCCCTAACCACGGCTATATGTTGGAAGTGAGTCCAACATATAGCCAAAATGATGGCAAAGCTGCCGAAATTCCACCAAACATGAAATGCATCTTATAATCGTGGCCGGTTATATTAATTGAATCCATACCTCGTTTTGCTACAAGCATAAACTCGAGTTCTTCTGGAACTTTGCACAGGATTGTATCTGGAAGAAATTGCGAAACATCGTCCGTTTCATGGCATTGGTCTCCTGGCACTTTTCGATATCCTTTAGTCTTGTTGTAAGATGTAGATCCGGGTTGACACCATTCAGCTTTTACTCCTGGACTGGACTCTGAATTATCCTTTATGCATTTTCGACTTCCTTCAGTGGGATCTTCCATGTACCCAAAATCGCTGAGAAAAAGTTTAAATGAGCTTATATATTTAATCTGGAGATTGGTGAATTTGAATATATTTATATTTGAATTTGAAGGAGAATAAAAATTAATATTTACCACTCGTAATCACTTCGCTCACAGATACAGGTTTTGGTTACCACTGGTCTAACATATCCCAGGCCATTGTAACAATTTGTTTTTGATATTCCTAATAATAACACGTCTTTATATAGTATACAGTATATATCGTATATAAAGTAATAATAATACGTCTTTGATATTCCTCTTTTTGACCCAAGAGACATGATCTGCCTGGCTGGCTGGCCCAAGGCGACCAGTTGTAATAATCAGCCTTTGTGCAATTTCGCTCTGTAATGTTAATAATGGTAATATTTATAATGAATGCTGGAATTCAACAATTTAAAGTTCTTAAATTAAAACAAGTTAAATTACCAAAAACGTCTCGGAAGTCAACTTTAATAAGAATCCAAGAATGCTTAAACGTAGAGTTCATGGATGACGCAAAAATAAAGAAGACGGTGGTATTTTCTCCAGGCTCAGTCATTAATCCTGATAATAAAATTATAAGTTTGGTATTCCTGGTCTGAAACCCACGTAGTCCTACGTGGGTTTCATCTCCTGAGATAGGACAGTAGTAGAGTTCAATCTTACCTAATACGCGAACTTTCTCATCGGAAAATTTATAAGTTTCCCATGATTCTCCTTCGTTAGTGGAGTAAATGAGGTGGTCCGTTGCATCACCGATTCGGTAGTACTTTGTCGCCACAATGATTCCTCCATGATCTCCAAAGCTATATAGGTAATTTCCTTGAAGAAGCTAAAAACAGAATTGATCGTATATTACCAAATTAATTGTGTAAATTCAAATTATACAACAGCGTATATTACCTGTCTCCAAGATACAGCTCCATCATTAGACATAAATACGCCCAGACGTCCCTTTAGGGTCGTATTTACAGTCCCTGTTGCCAAGATAAGACCAACGGCTGATTTTTTGGATAGGATCGGAACTGCTCTGTAGCTTGGATAAAGCAGACTTAGCTGTTGACTAAGCAAAATAAAACCAAATATACAATAACAACACGAATATCCATTCTTATCATCACAAAATAATTCACTTACCTAATATGCAGCGAACAATTGCCACCCGGTTTTATGCTTGTCTGGAAATACATTCAAAATATAAAGGTTAAATGCTCGCACGCACACAAATTTTAAATAATTTGAGAGTAATTTTTATTAATATTAATATATTTAATATTAATTAATATTCAGAATTGCAAAAGTGTCATTCTAAGAAACACAAGTACCACACCCAGTCTCAACGTAGTCTGAATTGAGTTATGAGACCAAAAAGAGTCCCACCCTACAAATTGCACTGAGATTGCTGGCCATGGGGATTTCCCAATTCAAACTTCCTTTATCGCCTCAACCGCAATCAATTGCATTGATTGCGGCGTCCCAAGCATGAAAAGAACCTTGAAAGCGGCAACTGCCTTTTTCTCTTTCCCCACCCCTTGGTTACAAGGATGCCCTGCTAGAGCATTGTACGGCCATTGACTCAGACCTTCCCGAGGGCAAAAGAGTGGAGAATAAAAATCCTCCAAAGGAACCCCCTTGTTGTAAGCGTGAAACTGGAATTGTGGATTTCTTGTCCCCTCATGACAGTGTATTTTTTCATCATTTCTTAATTAAATCGACGCTGATTTCATGCAACAAAACTCTTTAGCTACAACTTACATAGTGACAGTAGATTGGGTTTTCATCATCATCGAACTGAGGAGGCTTCAGAGTTACCCATTCCCCTCCTTGATCGTAAGTGATAACAGAAATTACTTGGTCGATAGTAAACTTTGTACTTGAGACGGCTGATGGCTTTAGTTGGCTTGCAATGTAAACTCCTCTAAGGCCATCTACTGGATGAAGGTCAGCAAATGCTTCATCTGTGACATCACTGTAGGGAAGAAAATATAAATATTACAAAACTAACCCAAGTAAGTTAATGCTGAATTATTATAATAAATTTGCATACTTGAGCCAAGAGTCGGTAAAAGTCAAATTCGGTTTAAAAAATAAAATGCGTTCCAAAGATAGTGAAAATCGTGAACTGCTAGCACCATCTTCTGGAATATTTCCGACGTACAAATGTACAAGGCTTTCATTATGAACGACACATACAAAAATCTGGAATAATGACAATAAAAACTCAATATTAATCAGGATCGACTTTGTTTGATAACTGTGAAGAAGGCAAAACGGACCTGTCCATCCGTTGAAACATCGGCGACATGATAATGCAATGCTGGGGTCAAGGTCGTGTGATCCACAGGGAAAATAGCTGGTAGAAATGGACCTTGCTTGTAAGAGATCAACAATTCCAAGGTACCAAACGTCTCTGTTGACTGAATAGAGAAACATAATACGTGATAATAATGTGTAGTATAGTATTTCCACATATTTCTGACAAACTACATTGACTCAGTCAATACCATAATTCTAGAATCAAGAACTTACATTTGAAGCTTTCCTAGTAGCAAATTTATAGTCCTCTCTAATCTGAAACTCGTCCACGTCAGTCAGCACCACATGAGTGTCTTTGGGATCCAGAAAGAGTGATTCAGATGATATAATGATTGACATTCCACTTGGTTCTTCCCTGCATTGATATAATCAGTTATTATTAATTATAGGATAAAAATCCAGTCATGGCACGAGCTTTCATATTTATGCTATGTTTTTTACTACTATTTAAAATTAAATTATTTACTTCACAACTTTACTTGTTCCCTTACCTTTGAATAAATAATGTAGGTGGGAAAACAGTTTCGTCCCACGAAACGGCTCGCACATGTTCTTGGACTTTCTTCCACGTTCCTCCATAATCTTGAGATACCCACATCTGACAAGAAAACAAAGATAAGTGCCTATCTCCCTATTACTAATATTATTTTTGTTCGTTTTTCATATATATATTAGTATCATACGAACCTGTCTGTCCTTAGTCTTTTTCTCATAGGCAATAACATTCTTTGGTTCCAGTGGATCAAAAATGATTTCTTCTGGAGTAAACTTGATCTCAGTACTGGTAAAATTGTCGCCAAAATTTTGAGTGGTGAATATATATTTGTGTTGGACATCGGTGAATATAAACTAGAGTATCAAACAAAACAGTATTGAAATAGCAATTGGTACTACAAAATAAATTAATTTGTTTTACAATAGAAGCTAAAGCAACATACCAGTCCCTTAATAGAGTCATCAGGATATTTGTAAAACTTTTCAACAGTTGGCAACGGCTTTCCCTTGACTAGAAGGGCGTCAGAGGCGTTTCTGAACGTGCTCCCATAATCTTTGGATATGAAGAGGGTTGAAGTCGAATTTTCTTTGGTATCTCGAGCTAGACAAATTATCACTTTCTCCCCAGCCCAGTGCACCAAAAGTTGGTTGTGTGAATCATTTAGCACATTCTACAATTTAAATGCATACAATATATCCATTTAAATCATTATAGTCCAGCAAGGGTACGGTGTTCTTCAAATTTATTACTGGTAGAAAAAAAACGACATAACTGTACTGTCTCATTCCAATTGCATTTGGTTTAGTCAGGGAATGTATAAAAATAAAACTACATATTATAATCTAGTCACAAAGTTCGTGACTTGAACTATATATTGAACCAGTACAACTCGTATCCTCAACTATTTGAAATGTATAAATGTTCATTAAACATAAGGCAATGAACTTTTTCTATTTACCTCTAAGCTGAATTGTCATTTAATATAAATGCAAAATACGCATGGTCGTCGTTATAATTGTGCATGTAGCGAACATCTGTAGTAAGCAAGTCTGTCCAACCACATTCAGTCAGTCAATGCAATTACAGTACAAACGCAATTAATCAGTCGATGCATTGTACACAACAAACAAATGCATGTGAGTCATCACCAGTATATTTACTTTTGATTGAAAAATAACATACGACGTTCAGACATTGTCAATTGTATTTAAACACCCGATTAGAAATCTTGTTCTATGACATATAATTTTGTTAATGTTAGCTTAAATGTATCCCTGCTTACCGTGTAATTTTTAACAGCATGATTATTAGTGGCAGGAGCCGTGACTTCTCTCCTCTTGCGATTTAGAGTGTGTAATGGCGATCCTTCATTGTTATCAAAGAGGTCGTGAACCTCCGAGTTTTCTGTATCGACGGTGGGTTCATAAATTTCAGCTATAGAGCGATCAGGTCTTCCACCTCCTCCAATCCCTTGCTGAAAGGTCAGAGAAGCTGACCCTAGCTCCGGAAGAGAAAAGTTAAGTAGGCACAGCAAGGAGGTCACTGCTGCCGTCCTCCAGCGAAATCTTTGCTTCATCGTAATGACTTCCCAAATGCGTTCCTGCATATTATAGATAGATCCATATTAGATTAGGCACAAAAATATTTAGTAACTCGAGTAATTTATAGACTGTGTAACTTGTCCTCACTTCTGCGAGTGAGAAAGTCTATATACAGACCGGTGTGTGTGTCTATATAGGACGATACGTCTAAGTAATTTACAAAGATCAATTTGATTTAAGGAAATCTTGCAAATTATATATGCCGGTAGAGAGCCAGACTCAAAATATTTTGAATATAGAATAGGACTAGATAAATTTGGTTATTGACTGACGGAGCTGATGATTGCTGCATTGGTGTGGTGTGTCATTTCAAGGTTAAAGTAGTGCATAATAAATATTGTATATATAGACATATTTAACACATGCAATAGCTCGATTCGACAAATATCAAACTATTCAACATCAACATAGAATATATGAAATACACCAACGCACCTTTACATTATTTATGACGCTAGGAGGATTTGCCACGCATTTAATATTATAAAATAACGCCCACTTAACTACACCTTCTTCCCCTTCAAATTTCTCCGCATGAAATATTTAAAAAATTCTTACCGCGATAATAAATTGATGTCAGAATCACATTTAACGCATATGCCCTACGACTGGACTTCTTCTTGGGATGACTTAATCAATACTGATCCTTGTTTGTAAGATGCAAGGTCAATTCACAATTTCACTTCCGATGATTGATAGAGCACAACTTTCGTTCCAACGACAATCAGTACTGAAAATCGTCCATTCTGGAAGCAATAAATAATTATAAACAACAAATAAAAACGATTCTCTGACTTTATAATGAAACACTGTTTGGCAAGCACTTGACATGCTGCAGTAATCGAGATAAGTAATTTGGACATCAAATGTTATCAGTCAAAGTCGACTCCCCTTCATAATCAGCAAGTTTATCGCGAGAGGAAACAAGATTAACCATGTTGGCTAATAAATCATTGACAAAACCCATGTAAAATACTAGAAATGAAGTGAAGCAATTTGTAGTAATTACAGATCCATTAAATCCATTTCAGAAATTATAAAGCACCCAACCAAACAACCGTAATTTGAAGCAACAAGAAATGTGAACAAACTTTAAACCTTACCTTTGCTCAGACGTCTTCTACTCTCGTTTTACAAATTAAAATTTGCACTTTTTGACAATTGCTCAAAACAGTACTTATCAATAAGAAAGTGGACAGTGGAAGAATTAAATGACGACGTTCGAAGTGCGTGGTTGGCAGCGGAGTGAGTGCGGTGTTTGACTGTCTCGTGATGATGACTTTTCTTTTCGTGCTCCGTTCTCTCCGTTGTTCTCTTCTCACTGGGAGGCTCTGCCATGCAAATATTTTCTGCATTACACATGCTTCTGCGGCTGAATGAAATTCATGCAAAATTTATTTCTCTATTTATTTATATGATTTCTTATCTGACACTATATGAAACTAGCTGCTGTTGTGGTTAAACGAGTGCATGCCATTATTTTGCACATTGTGGTTGTACTCGTAATGTTGACTGGAATGAGGTACAAGTTATGACTCATCAGGCTCTGACCAGAGTTCAAAACTACTACATAATAATATAATTTGTTTCTAATTTCCATTTATAGTCTCTAGAAAGATAAGTAGATGACTCAACTTTGAGTTAGTCTGGAATTCTGTCAAATGATATGAAACTTGGATGGATTTTAAGATTATTTGCACACCTTTCGGGCTGACGCAGAATAATAATTTGGGTAAGCAGTTCATAATTCGGATCAGCGAAGAATTATAGATTGCCTAAAACCTAAAATCTAAAACCTGCAGTGTGCAAAGTTGATTTACAGATTGTGAGTCGGGGCCGCTCGGGGTCACAGTCAAAATTTTTATCAGACGGCCCAACTGCAATTATCAACCGCTATTGTAATCGCCAAAAATGTTCTCATGAAATTTAGCATACAAAATTTCAGCTTTCAAAATCATGATGGATTTAGCCCTGATTCTGGCTAAAAATACAACAATCTGAAATCTTCCTCTCCAATGGGAGGGAATTGACTATTCAATTTGTACATGTATTTGAAATACAGTCCAAAATGCGTATTAATTTTAATTCTTGATTGCACAATTTATGAACAGAAAACTATTTATTTAGTACAAAAAAAGAATAAGGCAAGAGCCGATGAGCATGCATGACGTTCATTTGTCGTTTATCGTCATGTCTCCATCGACCCCGCATTAAGAGGGAAGGATGGGGGGAGTCCTAAATTCGTGCTCGAGTTTGACAACAGAAATCACTGTGTGTTGTTTGATTGAACTTTGTCTCCGCAGCAGCTACTTAGTTTATCGTAAATTTAAATTTCCAATTACTTTTAACCGTAAAAAGCTAACTAAAGTTTTGCAGAAAAAGCATTTATTGGGTTTTCCGCTTTGGTTTGATACGTTGACGCTCGGTTTTCGATTCCACAATTGAACTGTGACAGTTCACACTTTTCTCCCGTCATAGAATTTATCTATTTGTCAAGTAAGTATTGTATTTTACATACCGTATGGTGTTTATTCAATAAAACTAAATATTAAAAACAAAATATGCCACACGCTTGCCGTCCTCCCTGTGTCCCAGTCCCATCACACTTTAAAGCTTCACGAATGCTAGCTATTTATTGTTCAATATAGTTCATAAAATTTAATAATTCGTTAAACACAAACACGTTGGTAAAATATGGTTTAGTTATACAAAATTCATAAATGTTTTTGTTTATAGTTGGAGTTGCTGTTCTGTTGGATCACCTAAAATGGAAAATATAATTACTTTGGACTCATCCGAAGGGGAAGATGATGACATTAACGTCATTCCTATTGTTCCTTCTCCTCTACCGTTGTCTAGACCCAAGATTCGGTGTTCAAAGCCCAGACAAGGCGTGGAAGTAATTCATTTAACGACGGTAGGACCTAAGATTGAGCCGAAAGTGAAAGTAGATATGGGATATAATAAGATAAATGGGAATACGAATGGGATAACTTTACCAACTCGAAAAGTAGAAGAAATTACACTCTCATCGTCCTCGGATGAAGATGAGACGAAAAATGAGGTAAATATTATGCAATATTTTTACTCTGGACTCAATTATCGACTTCATTATTAGAATACTAAATTCTTTTACTTTCTACAGTCTCGTGCTGATAGTAGACATCAGCCTGGACCGTCTACATTAGCAGTAGCAGAAAGATGCTCAAGTAATAGACCCAAGAATTTAATGAATGGATCTGGGAAGGTCGAAAGTAATGGTGAAGAAGATACCAAAGATGTTCTTCATGATGACGATGTCTGCGAAGTTGTCAGCGACGTTGGGACGGAGTCTGTTTGTTCTGATGCTGCAGATAATATTAGAAAGGTAGGTTAGGTTATTTTATATCCCATAATTAATTTATTATAAATTTCTAAGAACACATTGTTAATTGATTTTTTAGTTATTAAAAACTTTGCATGGTACGTTGAAAGTCAGTGAAAGGAAGACACTCGAGAATAAGATATGGAAAAAGTATAAGAAACTTGAGAAAGAGCCAAAGGAGTTGCACGATGAACTCGCTAAATGCATCGACCTTGTTAACGATAAACTTGTAGAGAATCCAGAATTCAACAAATGGATGATGCTGCAGCAGTTGTTTATCAAATTTAATCCTGAAGTTCTTCGTAAAGGAGAACGTTTTGTCATTTCTTTCACATCCGAAGAACAAGCAACCTTGGAGGAAAAGAAACAAAGAAGGAAGCAACGTCTGGAGAGTATGTTAAAGGTAAGAACGAAATAATATAAGCATGTTTTGTTCTTCTTAGTTATTTTATTTTTCATTCTTATTTCGCTTTAATTTTCAGGAAATTTCTAAGATTGTGAAACGATTAGACAGAGAAGAAGTCAATTGGGACAGCGACGACGAGAACAACAGCGCATTTATGCAACGAGAACGATTGTTTGCAAAGTAATTGTTGCAAAGTTATCGGTTATGTTTATATATATTTATGTTTAACTAAATTTCGGGGTTTAATTTTTATAGAGCAATGAAAATTCATAACTTGATCTGCAAGATTGATAAGTGTTCGAGAATGACTGGACGTCCTATACAAAAGGCTATCGATTTAAAATGTACAACAACGTATCCAGAAGTTGAAGAAAGAGTAGCCCAATTTGTTAATAGGAATGGCTATTTTGAGTCTCCCGAGTTTTTCGATATTTTGGAAGTGGTCAATGATTGTAATGTTGAATCGCAGTTACACTTGTGTGAATCCGACTGTCGACAATTAGGTTAGACATGAGTATTTTTATCTATATATGTATAGGATTGTACTTTTAAACAAGATGCAATAACTAACAAATTCTGATATTTCCAGCCAAATCTCTCCACGAAACAATTATTGACCGTCGTCAGCAGTTACGAGACTTGGATGTTCCACTTGCCTTCCCTCCCGAGTGTGACGAGTTAGCTGACCCAGCGGAGACAGATGCAGAATTAGAAAAGAAGCTAATGGAAAATGCTAAAATGGCAAGGACAATAAAATCGGTACACATTTATCTAATTCATAATTTAATTTATCTCGATGTAATATGTACATAACCACTACGTGACATAGATATTAACTGTTTGTAATCGAAACTTGTAGGTCGTCGATGAATTTGCGGAAAAGCAGAGAAAACAAGATGCGGCTAAATCTGGTGATTCCGGCGGTGGGATTCCGGCTCCCAAAACCCATAAAAATGATGATGACGACGACAACGACGACGATCAAGAAGCTGAGGAAGATGCTTCGGATGAGGAAGATCAAGATGAAGATGCCAGTGACCCTGAAAACATACTGGAAGACGACTCATGTTTTGTTACTTCGGTGGAAGACAAGGAAGATGGTATGCAATTTTACAAATTACAAAAATATAATAGGTCACATTAGAATTTGTCGTTCGTTTAATAGGCGAAATTGAAGTTTGGAACGAGCCTTTATTTGAAGTTGAAAGTGGGATTGGAGAAGAGGTAGCCGACGGCGTCTCTATTTCACCACCCGATGTACAGTCACCAGTTGATAATCAAGATGCTGACATTTCGCCACCGACCATTCATGTTCCTGTTGAACCAGAAATTATAATAAACAATGACACAACGGCAAGCGATATTGTAATCCAGAGTAGTTCCGACAGCTCACACACCGAAAACCAAGATCCACCACCTGCCAAGAAACCTAAAGTTGACGAATGACGACGCATGGATGGACCAAGTATTGAATGATCATTTATTACAATTTACACCATTACACCCGTTCACGGATCGCTTAAATCTTATATGTAGTCCTTTTTGACTGACCATTTTTTTTCTCTTGTTGAGTATAAGTTTATCAATATTGACTGATGCAAATTTTTGCTCGAGTTACGTTTGTATCTACTCTGTTCCCCATACACCATATATTTTTTAATCCTATCGAAGCAGAGCGTTATTAAATTAAAGTACAAGCAGGGTGGTTTTAGGTGCTAAAATAGGTGGAGTGTATATTAATTTCATTCGCACTATATGTGTGAGTGTGACTGACTGACCAAGAATATGTATTTTTAATGACAAACAAATTGACAAAATAAATGCGTGTATGTGTGTGTCTCAAAGTCTCGTGTCATGAATGTAATGGAAAACCTTACGGCAGTCTAAAAACTCGATAAAGTGTTCTCAAATAAATATATACTTAGCTTTTAATGGTAATTTTAAGATTAGATGAATTAATTAATTTAAATATAGAACAAAATTGTTAAAATAAAAAGAGGACCAGTGAATAAATTTATCACAAATTCGAGCCTACTGTCTAATCAGGCAAACTTTATTTATTTCCCGACATTGTACACGAAACAAGAATTAATTCTAATTATGCTGATTTTGCTGTGCGTAATTTTAGTTGCAGAATTGCATTCCTTTAGATCCATGATTGCAGAAGAGTGGGAGAAATACTAGCAAATCCCGGCACCATTTAAATTGAGCCTCAATCACCTCTCAAGAGTAAGAATTAAATGATTCGACAAGTAGATCCGCCGACTATTTCAAAAGTAGAAATACTCAATTTCATTATGTTCCCCATATGAAAAAACTTAAAACTTAGCAATTTTTTCGGGCGCCAAAATTTCCCTTGGGGCGTTATGAGAATAATGGAAGATTAATATTGTGCACATAGGGCACAGCATATCTATGGAACGGGTTGATGAAATTTCAAAAACAAAATTTTGTTAGACTCTCTGGATCAGTACCTCGATAGGTTTTTCGAACCGAGTTGGAATTCCGACTTTCAGAGGTCTTTCGCAGCGACGCAAGATTGACTCAAAAATTAATTTTTCGCTATGACGAAAAAATATGACGAAATGTTCATACGTTAGCATTTCACCAATTTTTACTATGGTGCAAATTATTGGTACTAGAGTAGGCCAAAGAACGAAAATCGACAGTTGTCCAGAATTTAACACAGCAGTGGATTGGGAGCTAAACTCCGTTTCACCTTACATGGTGTTACCGCCACAGGCAAGGAACATGAGAATCCCATGTTATTTTCGTGTGGCGGTAATACCATGTAAGGTGAAACGGAGTTTAACACGGAAGCATGCATGGGAAAAACTCAAAAATATTCTTCTGGCTCTATATTTGCTGGGAGGGGTTTCAGACCCCACAAAGTATACATATTCTGAATCCTCTCGCCAATACCTTTCCAACGATACCCCATTTATGGGGCAATGTGACCTTTCGATCCCCGGAAAAGGTCACGCAGGTCGGTTTCGACTTTTTGGGTAGTTTTTTAATCTACTACCAATAATTTGTACCATAGTAAAAATTGGTGAAATGCTAACGTATGAACATTTCGTCATACTTTTTCGTCATAGCGAAAAATTAATTTTTGAGTCAATCTTGCGTCGCTGCGAAAGACCTCTGAAAGTCGGAATTCCAACTCGGTTCGAAAAACCTATCGAGGTACTGATCCAGAGAGTCTAACAAAATTTTGTTTTTGAAATTTCATCAACCCGTTCCATAGATATGCTGTGCCCTATGTGCACAATATTAATCTTCCATTATTCTCATAACGCCCCAAGGGACATTTTGGCACCCGAAAAAATTGCTAAGTTTTAATTTTTTCATATGGGGAACATAATGAAATTGAGTATTTCTACTTTTGAAATAGTCGGCGGATCTGCTTGTCGAATCATTTAATTCTTACTCTCAATTGAGTTGTTGTTGGTGGACAGGTCACAAGTATTTTATTTTTATGGTGCTCCATAGGTTTTGACCACCAATTTATAAGTTTTAATTGACTGAATTTTGTTCCCAGTTTTGAAATTATTGGTTATTTATTTCAATTTTAAACTAGTCGTCGACCAGAAATAAATATTTCGCTTCAATTCTATCTCCAATCTCCAGACGAATTAGAGTGTAATCCAGGCGTATAAAACACTTTTATTAGAAAACTAATAATATGATTATTGATTGTTCCTTTTAACTTCCCAGATATACGAATGAGAATGGCGGATGTTCCAGTAATCACCTTGTCTTCGGAAGACGAGGACGAAGAACTCGTTGAAAATATATTAGTCGAGCATACTGAGATGGGTCCTCCCCCATCGCCATCGCCTGACCCTTTCGCTCTTCCCCCCATGGCAGGCATGGTCTGGAACTACGAGCCGCAGGAAATGTCAGAGGATAACATATTGGACCAGTCGTATACTGTTGAAAGTAATATGGATGAGGTGATTGACTTAACTCTACATTCGGAAGACTCGGAGGTCGAAATAATTCCAACGCCATTGAAAGATTTGAGGGGTAAGGTAAGACTTTGTAAAGTTTAATAGAATAATAATTTAAATGTTTAAATTACACCTGAAATAACTATTATCAACAACAGGGAACTAAAAGCTCAAAATTGCCACCAACCCCTTCTGCGACACGAACACTTGCAGAAAATACGGTGATCTCTTCTTCTGGCATGACATTAAAACGTGGATCGCAAAAGTATGAAAATGCAAAGAAGGAAAAAATCTTACTTCTCGAACAATCACTCAATGTAAAATGTTTAATACCTGCTGGTGTACTAATCTAATAGACTTGAATATTAATTGCAATTTCCAATGCATTATTTTTATAGAAGGCAATGGAAGAAATCAGTAAGCTTGGAGAAAAAGAAGTTGACTGGGATGACGATGAAGGTGTCAATAGCTCCTTTATGCAGCAGGACAAATTGATGAAATCGTATTAAGCGTATATTTAAATTATTTGTAGCATCAAACATATGTATTGAATGAATTGATTTAATGCTTACTGACAGTTACATGAAACAGTACAACTTGCTGTGCGAAGTGACCAATAGCTCAACAAATACGGATAGACCGGTGAGTTACTATTTCTTACAATAATTATAGCATAGCGTAGTAATATATTGCACGTTTTTTAAATGCTCTGTAGGTACAGATGGGAATTCGCCTGAAGAACAGTATATTACATTTAACATTTTTCAGTTGAATACTTGGTCATTCATTTTATCTCATATATCCTGTATTGCTGTATTATGTTCTAGTTAAGAATTTTCCAAATTTGGATAAAACTGTTCTGACTGTTCAGAATTACGTCAATCAGAAGCCGTTTAATAAGCCAGCAGACTTTCTGGATATCTTAGAAGTTGTTCGTAACTGCAATAACAATTTTAAGCTGGAATTAAAAGAAAAACGTGTTCAGGAATTAGGTAAATCACATTCACTAAAATAATTTGTCATTAGTGAGTTACGAAATGATCTTCGTTCTAGGTTAATTATGCAATTTTAATGTTATTTATAGCACGAAATCTGCACCAAAAAGTAGTTCAGCGTATACAGCGTTGTCGTAAATTGGATTCACGCCTTCTCATTCCTGACGTCATGAAGGAAGATGACCCTGCATTCAAATCTCCAGAATTAGAAGCGAAGCTTCTGGAAAACGCCCGAAAAAGCAACCAGTCAATCCGAAATGTATATTGCTACATATATTTTCGTTCTATGAATTAATAGACTCGATTATGCATGATATTTACACCTTGTTGTTGAAATAGATAGCAGAACGTTTCATGGAAAGAGAACTACAAGATAGGTCTAAACAATCCGAAGATAGCGACTCTGAATTGGACGATAATGATGAGGAAAATAATGACTAGTCCGTCCGGCCACGACACTTACTTCAATGACATCGACAAAAAAAACTGAGAAGATTTTACCTCAATAACCTTACCCAATTTGAATTTGAATTTTTAGTTATACCATTATTATATGTATTATTTTCTCACTTCTTATTGTAATGACTTTTTATTATAGAGATTTTCCAAAGTCATTATTTGAAGTCGGATTAATCTTCAAGTACTTAATAACGTTGACTCATGCTTAATATGATGGACAATGTTCTTTGTACGTAAATAAAATGCGAAATCTTTGAAAATAAACAAAACAAATTCAAATTACATGAATTTAATTCGTGCATGACACTTGTCATGATCGTTCATCATGATGATCCACTCGATCATGCAATGTTTGAAGGGTAGCAGAATGAAGGTCACAAAAATTCAAAGAAAACATGTTAAATATAATGTGTACATCATTGTAGATATGCACTTTAACGCTTGATTTGTTCACAAATTGATAAGCGACATATACCCATCTAAATCGTATCCACATATTTGTATTGACTAATTAACAAATATCATCACTTATCATACACACATATTGTTATCCACCAGAAGCTCTGAATATGCATTGTTTTCACACCCAATAATAGAACGATGCAAATTAATGATGGATCCTAGGACAAGTAGATAGAACGCCAAAGTCCGTTGGACTGTTACAAATATGAGTAACAATATATTTATGCATGTAACTGATATCAAATAGAGAATCTTAAGGTAGAAATATGAAATGTGTATGTATCTACATTCATAAGCAAGAATTAATATGTAGGCGTTCTAGCCTCCTCGGCCGTATATTATTATTATAATACACGATCGCATCGTGATTCGACTGAAATGAAAATGAAAAAAGACGGTTGAGCCAAGACAAAGTCTCCAATTACATCTTATCTAATTCTCAAAATAATTGCTTTGCTAATGTACTATTGCATCAAGACAAGGCTTTAGTTCAATATTAGCTTAACATAATGGAAGGAAATGAAATGAAACCACAGCCCACCACCCTCCTTCTTACCGTCAACCACTTTACATGTTATGGAGATGCGATGTCATAAATCTTGCAATCATACGCAATACCTGACAAACTACCGTTCAACTTGGTGCAGACCACAATTTATAAATAGCTCTCGTATACAGTGAGTAAATTTTATTAAATTTCTGGACACGTTCACACCGTGCATGTCCTGTCTGTCAAACAAAAGCGAAATCAGAATGACATGAGCTATACATATGAACGAAATTATGTCACGAGGTATTTTTGCATTTACTCGGATTTAACATAAGCGAAATTTTTAAAGACGACACAGTGCAAAAGTAAAAGTAAACTGTGTTACATACAATTATTAACATATTTCGACAATTAATAATCAGTACCAGTCTAATTCGCCATCACCAAAATTTTCTTCGCTTTCGAACTCTGATGGTGTTGTCGATCTTGTTGTGGTTGGAGGTGTGAATGATGATGATGATGCTGGTGGACAAGAGGGGATGGGACGTGGGGGTGGACATTGACGAACTGAAGGACACACTGGACATGTGGGACATGGGGGACACATCATCGTAGGAAGAGGCTGGTTATTAAATCCAGTTGCCGGATTATTATTGCTTCCGATAAACCCATTCTGCAAAATGTGAAAATGCATGAATTAATTGTTATTATTGCATAGACGCTTGAAATTTAATAATATTCTTACTGATTTTGTTATTTGGTCGATCTGAAAAATTTTACCGTCATTCAAATTCTAAATATATCGTTCGTTCATAATGCAAAATGAGGAATTGTGGTGCACTTACTTGTGCTTGCAAACTGTCAATCTGGTAATTCAAATCTTTCAAATATTCTTGTAATTTCATTAAATCAAAAGTTGTTGATTTTGAATTTTTGTGCTTTGAAGCCTTTATTTGAATGTATCCCTTGAGCCTGGTGGAATAATACATTTAAAGTTTTTATTTTCCTTACGCTCATTCGTTATAAATTTTCATACTCTTCCAGTAAAGCCGTTTTCTGTGGATCGGGTGAGGCTCGAGACCCCACAACCGGTGACCCTGGAGTCGTAGGAAGGCCAACCCAATTGAAGGACGTGCAAAAGGGGAACAATGCAGAAATTACTAATAAGAAAATCCGCATGTTATACATTTCTACTCGCAAAGTCGTATGAAAATATGTATCTCTGTAAAATTATTATGGTTAATTATTGTACGAAAATCTGAAAATCGCAAATGTAATGCAACTGTCTCATATAAATACATGTATCGAACTAAATGAGTTATTATAAAGATGACAAATTATCAGAACAGAAACTGCGCATTTTAAGCTGGTTATCATTACAGACGAACTTCTTGGAATGGATTATCGAATAATTATGATATTGCGGTACTTTCTGCCCAATGATTGACAGGCATTCAGAAGAATTTTCATATTCAGGAATATGCATTTATATCGCATAAATCGAGCTTAATTTATAAATACAATTTTGTTTTTGTCTACTTATCTACATTACTTATTACTAATCATTTACTTGTTAAGTTTGTAGAACCCAGAATATTTTACTATATATTTAGTACACATTTTATAATGTTCAAAAACATGACATTCTCATAACCTATGAACCTATGTGATTCTACGTAATCATAGCATTCTGGAACAATCTGCATAAATCCCTGCAATAGTACAATTTAATATTGGAATTACGGTTAATATATGAACAAATGTCTGTGTGCATATTATTATATTATTAAATATCATTACATACAAATATCTTCAACACTATTGCAATCGTTATGCTAATCTAATGCATCGATAACTGCTGATAATGAGAAGGATTGGTTTTCAAAGTGGAGCTTATGTAATGCAATTGTAAATTTGTAAGTGCTCAGCGGGGGATCCTTTGATTTTTTTTACATGTTACAGAGACTATATTTACTTTCTTGAATGTCTTGAGCACCATTATGGTTCATTATTATTATTCTTTTATCTTATTCTACATATACACATATGTAAGCAACAACAAATAACGACGCTTGTTGCTCCCTAAAACTTGATTAATATTCATAAGCACGTTTGTCATACTTCTCAAAACACACGAGTAATGTACACCTACATATTTACCTACTGAACTAATGCTGCAAGCGTCTGAAGCTTTGGTCGTATTATTACGTGCATTATTGTTTTGTTGCCGAATAGTAATATCGTAAACAATAACAATAATAACACATCCAACAGGGCATATTATGCAAGGGCCTGTGAATCGGAGGTAAATAAATATGAGAACAATTCAGCACGCAGCTTGTCACAACAAATCAAAAGTAGAATTTACAGATCATTTCTGCATATTAGAATTAAATGCATAGATTGGCTTATCCGCTTATGGCGCTTATACATGTATGTGCATGGTGATCTTAATTGTACAGATTTATTGAGGAAATCTTACTTTGAAAGAAACAACGCATACTTAGCTTGCATATGCATAAGTTTCATTGTTTTAATATATTTTAATGCTTGAATTTATTTAGTATAAATGTTGTTGAATTTCAGCTTACTCCAATTAAATGAAGATTTATATTGCTATACAATTGAAGAAAAATATAAAAAAAGCTCTGATAAATTTGAGAAGTTTTGGCTTTACCGAACATGACATACGCATACATATTGTGCATGTAAATACATATGTCATATGCATTTATTTGTGTGCATATGTTATGCGACCAAGTACAGATATCTATATGTCCTACATATGCTGCCGCTATGATCGACATGAGAATACTTATTTTATAAAAAGATAATCTGTGAAATCTGTTAAAATATGGATATTGGGCTTGTACATTTTGCCATAATTAATTTTAATCTTTATCATTACGTGTCTTCATGATTTTTGTAAAGTCAAAATTGTCAAGCCGTCACAATCCAAGTTCACGAAGAATATCTTTTAATAACCTTCAACTTATTCAAAATATGTGAGCGTATGCTCAATAACATAGGCGAGTACATGATGATGATTCCAGTCAGTCAAGTTATTGCGAATTTTTTGGATTGGATTAAAGTTGATTGTTAGTAATTTAATTTGTAATAAAATGTCTCAACACGAGAACTCGAGAGATTACGTGAAGACAGCAACAAGGCGAAATGTCAGATAAAGTAAAGAGCGGCCTTTCTTGGCTAGTTTGGTACATTTTAACGTGGGTGTTTAGCTCTAATGCTGAGTAACGAGGTGCAATATTGAATTTTGATATTGATTCCACACCCTTTTCTGTCATCTGTCATTTTGATATGAGGGTTTTGCAGTCATTATGTCCTGCATCATACAAATACACTCTAGTTGATGGTCAAGCACGATATGCAGGGTATGGCAACCATCAAAGACTGTAGTCAAAGCTATTTAGTGGTGATCTACATGGATGCCCTTTAACGAGGTCTCAAATCTAGTACTGCTAATTAAAAGCTGACCAAGAACTTTTCTGGTCGATCTTACATTGTTAGCTATAAAATCGCTTTGGGCCATTCGCACGATTGATCTCATTATTCATTCCCACGCCAAAATCTATCGAAAGCGCAGAAAAACTACTCTCGATCTCATTATTCAATTGAAATTTTACCGTCCTCGATTTTTCGTGAAATCTTATTAACTCACCTGGAATTTTACAGTTCTGGTTTCAAAGTTAGCATATGCTTATCTCGTGATTAGACAATTGATTTGTGACATTAGGACATGAATTCATGTGAATAGGCAGGCATTCGGTTGCAGACTCCCTTATCTTTTTCCATTAACATTGAAATTCACTTAAAGGTTTCATCCTACGCAGTCCTAATTTATTGTTCGGGTTTCGATAAGCCCTCTTCAAGAAACTTAAAGAAATATTATTTACAAGTTAAACCCCTAATTCAAAATTTGGTTTAATTACTCAATTTTACGACTACTATCGACTATCAAAATGAAAATTCCTAACTGAATCAAGTACTTAAATTTGAAGATCCATATAAATCCCTACATAGAAAACGGACAAATCTATGCATGTACATATACGCATATACGCATACCGAGCGGTGAGAGCATGATAATAAAATTGAAGCAATAAAATTCGGCAACAATGACAATCAAAACTGTTTATGCGGTTTTATGTCTTTGTTGATGTTGATTGCCTTGTTGATGGGTGAGTGTGATACTGCTCGATAACTTTATTTTGATTCTTATCTAAAGAATTGACATCAGCATCAGTCCAAAAATGTTTAAATTATGTATTGATCAAATTAGGATAATTTTCAGCCCAGGTATTTTTAAGGAACAACATTGACGAGTTGCATGAATGTGAAAAAGGCAGAGGTTTCATTGAACCAGTTAGTTGCCAATGTATGTGAGACAAGTAAATCAATGCAAAACCACAACCCTTACCTAATCCAAAGTCCTCTCGTTCCTTTGTATTTTTACATGTTTTAGTATTTTATTATTACACAATAGAGATACAAATTCGCTACGCCTTATACCCGTGTTATCAACCATTGCACATCGATAAGAATTCCACTGTGAGATAAAATATTGTACCCTCTGAAGGTTTTATTATCTAACGTCGTGCATAGCATTTTCACAGCCAAAAACCAGAGCAAATTGAAAAATATTACTTGTAATTTGATTTCAATTGAACTCAAAATAATTTGTATAGTTTTTTAAAATCAGTAGTTAAAATTGCAACATATGTAAATTTGTGTTTTACGATTTTCTGGACATGTATGAATGAAATTACGTGTGAATGAGTAATTATTCAAGATCTGCAAAAAAGTAAAACGCGTATTTAGGAATGCCAAGTACAAACAATTAGCCAGCATGATGAATAGGATCAATCCAATCGCAATGCAACAACTTGCTAAGAAATTCATCAAAGCAGCCATAAAAGTGGACCATTCAAAAATCCATTCAGAAATTGGACAAGCGGCGTGAAGTTTCTCGCAACATTGAGTTGCTACTTATTGTTTGAGTGTTTTTATACTTGATCAATAAGTTAAAAGCCATTTATATGTATGTCATTTAGCACATATAATAACACAGCTTGATATGTGTGTAGATAATAAGGAAGGAAAACATTGGCTCTCTTTTAATAATTGGGCTATTCCCCACATTAAGATATGAATATATTAATTTCTAATACTTAAAATGAATTGAATAATTTTTGGGCAGGGACAATAAATTTGCAATATGTTTGCAATTACTATTAGTAATTTACTAAACAGGTACCCACTAAATGTGACTAATACGAAGGAAGCGCATGTACGCTACAATGTGTCGTGGGCTAGCCAATAAGATGTATTATTCTCCGTGAGCTAATTTGTCTCGCCTCTTTTATCGCTGTCTCTTTTTAATAATTGTTGTGCTCATTATATTCCTCTTATTTTTTATTTATTAATATGGCATAATTTTGCTAATTAATATTCTTCCACACTTTTTATCTCTTGGTGTAATGATCACTCAGTGACATGAAATATTACTTCGGTATTTATTGTGACAAGTTTAATTGATCAGGAAAAATGTCCTATGAAGCAAATGCCGCATCTACAATGAGATTAATATTTTTGTGATTGCAATCAAGCACTCGTAGGACATATATTCTCATTAAACGCAATTTGTTTATCCAACAAGGTTACGAAAAGCATGCGTTAATTTTTACACTTGCCTTAATAAAACCCATGACTTTGTATATGTACGCACACCAATGAATGCATAATGCTTAATTTATCCAGGTGTCCTTAAAATGATTTATTAGTATTGCTCTCTGAAACGCCAAAACGTTGTGAATGCTAAGAAGAAGAAGAAGAAGGCAAACTTAATTTGCTGTGCCTTAATTATCTTAAGCATTCATTCACATTTGTAAGATGATTATTAACCTTCAGCTAAAGAGGTTTTTCTTTCATTTGCATGCAAAATAATTCATCCAAGAACAGCGCCACGAGTAAGGAAGAAATAAGCAAGTGTTTAATGCGACACCACTAAAATGTAGCATCTCTTTAAAATTAGTGGACGTCAACAGCTCGGTCAGTGGTAAAACAGATAAATAAATCAATCGAAACCAGCGCACCCAGTTTGTCAATTTTTTTTACGGTTTTAGATTAAATGAATTCCTGTATATATATTTCCTAGTATAAGAACATGTGCATATTTTCTTCTTCTTAGTGCTCAGAATATTTATCCAACAGTATTAACCATTCCTTTAATGATACGATGCATAAATTAAACAAGAAAATAATATCTATCCAAAATCAAGACTTATTTTGGGATTATATGTTT